ATTCAGACGTTTAATCATGAAGTCGTATTGGGACGTTAGAAGAAGGCTTAGTTCATGTCTAAATGAAGTTAAGGCGACAGAGTTGGCATGGTCAGGGGCTGATTTATTGACAACTTCTAAATTGCGTATTTTATCTAGGAGAGCTGTCATAGCACTACCGCACCTTCGTTTCTCCTGCGCTCCCAATTTGGTAAGCAGGCCTCTAAGGAAGGCTTTATGTGCATTCCAGACCACGGTATGATTACTAGCAGTAGAGGAATTGATGTCGAAAAAGGCTTTCAATTCAGATTGAACTAATTCCCTATGATTGGGGTTAGAGAGTAAACTCGGGTTGAATCTCCATGTAGGAGTGATACGAGGAGATGCAGTTGGGAAGAGAGTAAGCGAGGTAGGAGCATGATCTGACTATGTTATTAACCCAATTTCCGCCCTGGAGACATGTTGTAGTGTGAATTTGTCCACTAGAACATGTCTGAGGCGTGATTGTTTACACAAGGTTTCTCCATAACAGCATCCCATTGTGATACGAATAATGGGGAAACAATTAAAGAAGAGAAACAGAAACAGTTCGGTCTATTTAGAAGGCACCTTCCATTGTGAGAAACCAGCTTTCTGTCAAGCCAAGGAGACACTACGTCTAATTTGCAAGTCCTGTGCGTGTCCGAAATATCCATTAGCATTCTCAGATATATATATACATATATCTATATACACACAAATGTAACATATATATATATATATATATATATATGCATTTTACATTTGTGTGTATATAGATATATAGATTGAAGAATGTCATATGCAAATTGTTATAACACTGGAACACTGGTCAACACATTTTTTCTGGCATAAGGTATTCCAACAGTTTTAAGGTAATGTAGGGGTGCTGATTCCAAATCTGGCGTCGGTTTTTGTCTATCACATCAGGTTTTTGAGATATCAAATACTGCATTTTCAAGAAAAACAGCAAATGTATGCTCATATACGAATAGCTATACAGGCATACATACAATAATAAGATGAGATAAGATACTCTTCTTTCATTTTATTTTATATTTTTATTTTTTTAATGTTTTATTACCCCATAAATATAATTTGACATCATTCAATTTTTTTATATTTAAGTTTTTATTCAAGTTTTAGTATGTATACAAAAATCTAAGTCAGCAATAACATTAACATTAGTTAAAAAGCAATTGACTCATCAAGAAGAATATACCAATCTAGTTGATGCAATAGTTTGACAATAAAATAATTATAATTATAAGAAAGGAAAAAAAAACAAAAACACTTCTTATCTCTAATTCACGGAAGATGATATATCATCTAGGAGCAAGATATTGTCATTAGAATTTTCAAGTGTTTGCCAAGGGTACCACACCTGGTTAAATTCATGGATATTGTTGTGCAATCGAGCCGTTAAGTATTCCATGTTGTGGATTTCATGGATCCTTTGCACCAATTCTACATGGGACGGGGGTATTTTTTGTCGCCATTTTAAAGCTATAAGGCATCTTGCTGCCGTGAGAACATGGTTAACAAGTTTAGTAATATATTTCGAGTAGTGTGGTATGGGAAGGCCTAAAAGCAAGTATACAGGGTCTTCTGGTATAGTCTGGTCCGTTATTTTTTGGAGTAGCATCATTGTATAATTCCAGAAAGGCTTTATTTTTGAACAATCCCAAAATATGTGGAGTATACTGCCCTTTAAGGTCAAGCATCTCCAACATATTGATGGTTGCGAAGGATTCATGTGGTTTAACACCTCTGGGGTACGATACCAATGGTAGATAATTTTGTACTGATTTTCCTGGTATAAAGTACTGATAGAGGTCTTACTAGCGTTAAGCCATATTTTCTCCCATTCCTCTTTGTCTAGTGTTCGGCCTAGAGCTCTCTCCCATCTACACATAAAGTTGTGTTTCGGAAAAGGTGCATTACAAATCCAATTAAGTAATTTATAAATGTCAGCTATCAGGTGTTTGCGAGTAGGTCCTTCTAGACACATTCTTTCGAATGGTGTTAAAGGTGAGAAAATAAGTGACAGGGAGATTGTGTATGCATAATGGAGATATGTAAAGAGAGATCTAGTTGGTAGATTGAAGTCAATATGTAAGTTCAAGAAGGGCAATAGGGTCCTATCTATTTTGTGGATTGATCTGACCATGGACGGGCTGTATATCGGTTTAATGTGGCAGGAAGGAAGGGAGTGTATAAAAATTATCTAATTGAAGTAGTTGTCGAGGTAAGTTTAAATTTAATCCCTGCAGAGTGCCATATGTCTTTAGTGTGTTGCATTGTGGATAAGAGCGAGGGCACATGTGTAGTCTGTAGATTAGGTCATAGGAGACCGTTTAGATGTAGTGGTGTAATCCAGAGATTTTCTATTTCTGCCCATCTATTAGGAGGGTGTAAGAAGGACCAGGATGCTATGTGGCGCAGATGGGCTGCTGTGTAGTATTTTAATACATCTGGAAAAGCCAGTCCGCCCTGTGATTTAGATCAGTGGTTCTCAACTGTTGAAGCTGTGTGTCCCGTTTAAGCTTACTGCAAAGCGCAATACAGTGCCCTCGCATTACTGCTTTATGTGTCTCCCATAGAGTACTAGAGAGATCTACGGTTCCTTTATTTAGACAAAAATATTCTAGTAGGGAGCTCTCTAGTTGGGATTTAGTTATTTCATTTTTAAGAAGCCATTCGTTTATGCGCCAATTGTAAAATTTTACCGGGGGAGGGAACAAACGCATCGATAAGACTATGGGGGCGTGGTCTGACCAGGTAATGGAAGTAATTTCTGTGGATATATATATGGTTCAATCCCAATAGGGCACTCTGTAAAATGAAAGAAGAGTGCCCTCCTATCTCCAACCCTCGACAGACTAGGGATCACTGGGAACCCCACACCGGAGGGCACAAAGAGACTCGCACACCAATTTCAATTACTGCTTAAACGATATGCCCTGTTCGATGTATGGAGAACTCAGAACCCAACAGACAGGCAATTTACCTTCTACTCCAATGCACATGGAACCCACACAAGAATAAACCGTTTCTTAGTCAACAACAAAGCATTAAATGCCACTATTTCTGTTGTGAAGTAACACACATTTCAAACTCCTTTTACTACTGTCAATAAAAAGTCTCCATTAACTTGAATCATATGTGGGCAGTCCCATATTGAGATGAAGCCCTTCAACATCATTACAATAAACAAGTTGATCATCTGAATGGAAGTACTTTCGCAGTGCTGCTTCTCTGTTACGATAAAAGGAGACACTAGTGCCAGGTCTGAGTAGTCCTTTCTCTTGCAGCCTGGAAGCCAACAATTCAGCAGACTGATTTGGCAAATACAAATCTCTTACAAGATCATTCAATTCAGGCTGACTAAACAGAGACATTTTATCACAATCTGCATCAGATGGTGTATATTCGATCTGAGCATCATCATCTGTAGAAGCAGGTAAACTGAGGGATTCAACATCAATCTCTGGTAGCTCAGTAAATACAGGCCCAGGTATTTCCTCACAATGCTCAACTGGTCGTCTGGCAGATGGGATATCTGGGCATTGTAAGTGTTGTTTGTTTTTCTTATTGAAACCTTTTACATTGACAAGGCAGAAGTAGCAGTTATCCAAATGTTTTTTAGGTTCTCTCCAAACCATTGGCACACCAAACTTCAGCTTAGCATTCTTTCCTTTAGACCATGATCGCAAAGTTTCAACGCAGGTTTTACACACTTTGTGAGTAGCCCAATTTTTGTCTTGGTCTCCAAGTCGTACTTTAAAGTAGGCAAGATAAACCTTCTTGACAAAGGTATTGATGTTGTGCCTTTGATCCTGCAAAGTGAAGCTGCCACAGATGTAGAAGAAGATATCTGGGTCATTACTGCATTTCCTTCTTTCGGATGTTGTAGCCATTGCTAGATCACTCCCCGCAGGAGGAAAATATTAAATAAATGTGGATATCTACATAAAATTATATTATAATTGCTCACAACAGGGCTTGGTTGCTCACAACAGGGCTTGGAGAACAAAGTGCCTGGAAGCTAAGTGGCGTTAAAAAATTGGATTTGAACTGTTTGGGATATCTTAAGTGCTTAAGGAAGAAATAACAGCGGCGGTTTTATTGGCTCCGTCCCACTCTGATCTCGTGTATGTGACTATACCAGTTTAACCTGTTGGGCATGTTGCATTTTCGTTACAGTTAATGATTTAATTGCCATATTGTTTGTCACATTGAATACACGTTGCACTGAATATATGTTGTGGTTTACCCACGGGAAAGGAATTAGAATAACTACAACAGTATAATCAATTCATATCTTAGTAAGCTAAGGATATCACATTTTTATTTTTGGAGTTTATACCTTTTTTGCACACTTTTATTCATAAGTTCACACCCCCTAATGTTTTAAACACATATAGTGTTAAACGTATTTCATTTGGGTAGAACCTATTACAACACTGAAAAGAGACACACACAAAGAATCAATTATTCACAAAGATTTAAGTTTATTATTCACAGAGTTCAGTGGCACTGAAGATTACAATCATCACACTTATATCACCCATCATTTAAAATATGTTTTACTATATTTTTTTTAACTATTTTATTATTTACAACATAACCACCACGGATGCTACACTTGGATCAACATAGTAACTTATAGTTTATGACACATATGAGGGTATGTAAAAACCAAATAGAATAATTAAACCAAGCGCAACATATTAGCCCTTCTTTTCAGCGTTTAACATACATTGTTGCAGCTGGTGCCTAATATTGACTCCCAGCGCAAACTAATTTGTTTGAAATAATTGAATGTGTATATGGTGTGTTGAACATCTGTATTACATATAGGTTTCTCATTTGTACTGTGGATAATTTGAGGGTGATATTGGAAGATGTAGCATGGATATGCCACAGTAAACTCTAATCTAATGCTTATTGTTACCTATGACCTGGATACCATCTCACTGTCTTTTCCAATCTCGTTTTAGACTCAACCAACAGTGATTCTGCCAAAGCAAAGGTAAGTATATCGAGAATATATGTTGCATGTATACTTAACATGGGCTTAGAGCTGTTACAAGAGAATACAGAACTGAAAAGTGATATGAAATCTGCTCCTTGGGTTTCTCATGATGAACATGTTCTATGTATTTGTTTTTTTTCAGAAAAAAAAACCTTTCTGATGTTTTCTTATTAGTGTGTTTTGTGTGAAGTAGGCAATTCTGGATGACTTAATGGGGGAATTTATCAAAACTGGAGCAAACAGAATCTGTTGCAGTTGCCCATAGCAACCAATCAGCATCTCTCTTCAGTTTGCTCAGGTAAGATTTTCAAATGAGAGAGAGAAGCTGATTGGCCGCAGTGAAAATGTGCTCCACATTTTGTCTGCTCCAGTTTTTATAAATTCCCCCCAATGTCTTTCACATCAAAAACAACTTTTTTTATGCTAAGCAATAAACATCTTCAGTGTGTTTTGTAGCTGGTCAGGCTACTTCACCTGATATTGTGCAGCAAGATTATAAGTGGAACAAATTACATAATAACTTGAAATAACTTAACTAATTTGAAATAACAAAAATTAATACATGCTGAGATAGAATTAGCCTCTTCACGACTGGAGACGTACACTGTATGTCTCCATCGTGAAGTGCCGAAATGACTGCTCACGTACCCTGTACATGAGAAGCTATTTTGGGACACCGGTAACTGCTGAGAATAAGCGGTTACCGTTCATTAAATGATGCCTCGGTAATGAGGCATCCATTAATGAAAGAATTAAGCTTTTGTAAAAGCTTAACTATTAATGAAAGAATTAAGCTGTTACAATTACCAGATTGCTAACAGCGATCCAGTATTTGACAGCTGAAATAGCCATGATGACTTTGCCCAAACATGGCTCACCTGTTACAACTGTAAACAGTTGGGTGGAGCTAGCTGTCACTGTTAGCTCCACCCAATTGTTTATATGTTGCCGACATCTGTCGGAATGCCATTCTGCGGTGGGTGTTCGTCACGAGTGGGCGGGACTGCGAATTGCCCCATTAAAAAAATGATTTCTATTCATTTTTTTATTGTTGTATTTTTTATTTTGTTGAATCATCGTTGTGGACGACGCTGTACGTCGTGATTGAAGCTGGATTACGTCGGTGGATCCATTTTTGGGTTTTTTTTTCTAAATAAAAGTCTTGTCAAAAACTTTATATAACAAATAAAGGATTTTTTCAAAAGTCTGACCTTTTTTAAAATTTGATTTAACCCTTTAGTGAATGGGTAGAGGTTCAAGTACCCCTTACTCATTCACAATGGGGGGGCACATCTGGGTGCCCTTTTATTAAAGGCGTACCCTGATGTGAAAAAGCCCCTGCCCGCACCCCCACAACCAACGCCCCAGGGCTTGTGGGGAAGAGTCCCTTGTCCCCATCGGCACGGGGACAATGTGCTTTTCCAGGGGCGACCCTGGAAAAACACCCTCCCAGTGCTGAGGGCATGTGGCCTGGTATCGCAGGGAGGGGGGCACTCGCTCTCGCCCCCCTTTCCTGCCCTGCTAGGCCTGTGCTCGGATCAAGGATCTGGTATGGAATTTTAGGGGGGACCCCATGTTTCCCCAGCATTTTGGGGGATGGGGTTCCTCCTTAAAATTCCTACCAGACCTTAAGGGCCTGGTAGGGACTTTAAGGGGGAACCCCACACACTTTTTTTGGGGGGGTGGGGGGGGTTTACATGGGGTCCCTCCTAAAATTCCTACCAGACCTTAAGGGTGGGGATAACTTTTGGGGGGAACCCCACACTTTTTCTTTTTTTTTTTTTTAAATGTGGTCCCCCCTAACATTTTTCTTTACAAATGTCATTTTTGCTGCAGCAGGTTCTGTACCTTGTACAAATGTACCACCGTACAGGCAGTTTAAGGGGACCCCGCAGGCACAATATTTAAAGGAATTTTTAATTTTTATTGTTTTACATTAATTGATGTTAAAATCACTGCTCCTTTAAAAATTGTATTTTTTAAAAGTGATTTTTTCATTGATGCATGTTCCCCAGGGCAGTACCCAAATCCCTGTACCCTTTTTATGGCCATTAACTTGCCAATAAGCCTTCAAAATGGGGTCAATTGATTTTTAAAGTTCTACCCCCATAGACTTGCATTGAGTTCGAATTCAAACTTTTTCCATGCGCGAAAGTTCGAATTCGAACCGAACAAGGGGTGTTCGGCTCATTACTAGTGCACACCGCTCTATTTCAGTTTTAACAGCTCTGTAGAGATTGGGACTTGCCCATGGGCAGGCTGTTACATTCTTCAGCACAGTAATCTGTAACAATATATTTCTATGCTGAAACAGTGTATCAGACTTCTGATTGTTCTGGGAAAGATCAGAAACCGTTAGTGAGATCTGACTCTGACATGCTTCAGAATCAGAACTTCAGGTACAGTCATTAAGGTTGTTATTGGCTGTTTCTAAGTTTGGAGCAGCCTAATAATAACCAAATAATAATAATAAAATAAATAATTAAATTATCAATTTTTTACTTAACCCCCTCATGACGGCGTTGTTCAAAGTATGTATGTACGTACATAATATGTGTGGGTGCACTTGGTAAGAAAGTATATTACTGCCATGGAAGAATCACACAGCAAAAATGTAAAAAGTGCATCAGTCAATAACGAACAGAAACTGGAAAAAAGCTCAGTCAGGAAGGGGTTACAGTTGTATTCATCCATAGATAGATAGATTGTAGGAAAGCCACTTGTGTGCAGTCAGGAAATGGAAATATATGCAGCTTTATTGAGAGCAAACATAAAAGTCTCTTTCCCTCAATAGTAATGGAGTTTTTCCAATGCCCACTTAATCGCCAAACTCTCTTTTTTCACTGTGACATAAAGCTGTTTTTGAGGCAACAACTTCCGACTCAAATAAAGAATAGGGTGTCCTGTACCACCCACGTATTGTGACAAAACTGCACCCAAACCAACCTCTGAGGCATCTGTCTGGAGTCACAACAACAGGTCTCACCAGGGCTGTGTACAGATTTTACCAGAGCTGCGTACAAATCTCACCAGGGCTGCACGTTCAGCGGACATGTGGCGGGCTGAACTGGCTGAATGGGTGGGTGTTGGGCTGAACGGGTGGGTGCTGGGCTGAACGGGCCGGTTCCGGGCTTGTGTCGGCTTCGGGGCTGTACTCTGTGTGGGGCTGTCCTAAGCTATGCCAGCGCTGGGGAGGAGGAAAAGATTGGGGCCTGACAGGACAGGCACTGGCAGCCGAACTTGTTAAAAAATGTAAAGGGCCAGTATCAGCCTTTAGTATTCATTTTTTAGACTTTTTTTAGATTTAGACATCCCTAAAAAAAAGTAAAGAAGAGTCAGTGGCGATGGGCTGAAATACGCAAGGTGGTGGTGGTGGTCAATAACCCCAGTACTAGTGAATCAGCACAAACTGTGAGTAATCTAACTGCTACTACAATGGATAATTCAGTGATAGCTGTGTTAACAGCCAACTTAGAGCCTACATTGAGAGATATACATGCAGCAGTAAAAAAGTGTAACATTTCACTTGCTGATGTAATGAACACAATGCAAGGGTTGAAGATCCGGGAGCGTACTACAGCTTTAGAAGATAGGGTGAATAATATGGCAGATGTTTTGACCCCTATGCAGAATGAAGTGCAGTTTAATACCCAGCTCATTAATCAACATGCGTTCCGCTTAGAGGACATGGAAAATGGATTATGCCACAATAATGTGAGAATTGTAGGCCACCCAGAGGGAGCTGAGGGGAGGATTCCTAAAGCTTTTTTATTGAAACCTGTTTGCGGGATATACTTGGGGTGGAACATCTTACCCCTCATTTCTCTGTGGAGTGAGCCCATAGAATCCCCTGCATCCCCTTAAGAATCCCCTGCATCCCACCTGGAGCACCACCGAGACCATTTCTGCTTCAGCTGCTAAATTATAAGAGATCATGATTTTATACTGCGAAAAGCCTGAGAACAAGACAATCTCATAATGAATAGATCAAAGCTTTTTTTTCTTTCCAGACTTCTCAGCAGAAGAAGTGTTTTTCCTCATGGAATGGATTGGGAGATCCATTAAAATGACAGGCAATGTTTATAACAATTAAGACATATTCTCCAGCAATTATCTGTCTGCAGGAAACACATTTTGAAAAAGCTACCAGACATTATTTAAGACACCGTCAATATAATGTCAAATACCATTTAGCAGAAGTTCAGCGGAAACATGCTTATAACATAGCAGTGCATTATGGATAGCATTGGGCACAGGACTATTGTTAAGGCGGAACTCTGTGTTTAGAATTGAACTCACTTAGTTGCTTGTAGAAATTACCAAGGTATTAGGTGGGGTTATTATGTATCTTTGTTCAGCCATAGGATTTCCCCACTTGTTTTGCCCCTGTGGGGGTAGAGGGGTTGTTTGTTTGTTTAGGGTCTTTTTTTTTCTAAAATATTTTTTTAGAGATTATTTATATATTTGTACACTATGTTATTAAGATCTGTCACAGAGTTTTTAAACTTATCACAGGGTAATTATATGTTATGGGTTCTAAGAAAGCTGTTTTCTCAAGGATTGTGATAGGATTGGGAGATCCATTAAAACAACAGGCAATATTTACAACAATTAAGACATATTCTCCAGCAATTATCTGTCTGCAGGAAACACATTTTGAAAAAGCTACCAGACATTATTTAAGACACCGTCAATATAATGTACAATACCCCTCTTATTTAAGGGCTGTTACTGTCTTTATTTCTAACATGTTAGAGTTTACCTGCAGACAGGTGAAGTTGGATCCACTGGGTCGCTATGTGTATCTATATTGTATTATAGATATGTTTGCATGTATTATAGCTAGTGTATATGTGCCTCCTCCATACTCACCTAGGGTGTTAAAGGATTTGCATGATTTCTTAGTGGATAAGCTGGAAATACCTGTCCCGGTAATAGGGGATTTTAATACCTATCTTAGCTTGTCATTGAATAAATATGGATCCCAAGCCGCTGTA